AAATTATAAACTTTTAAACTCAAATTACAATTATTTATAGTTTTTACAATTTTATACTTTTTATCATCTTTCTCAGTATATTTTATGGAAGTTGTGTCTAGATATTATTAATATAACATTATTGTTGAGGTGGTGTTATTGATGTTTATATCAGTCATATATGAAATAGCAATCGGTTCAGATGTGTTCAGAGGAGAGATCCAGAAGTGTTACCATCTCGGAACGAGGTTCGTTATACTGAGAAAGACGATAAAATTATAAAATTGTAAAAACTATAAATAATTGTAATTTGAGTTTAAAAGTTTATAGTTTACACCTGATGACGGTTTGATAAACCGAAACATGTTGTGAATGTTCCGATATAAATCGAATGCTCGATATGGAACATAAGATGATATTTTAATCATTTTAATTATCTTATCTTACTATTTTATTGTGATTTGACGGTAAACAAATATAATAATTATTTTAATTAATATCACGTATAGTACTTAATATAAGATATGGACAATCACATTCGATGGGAGGACCAGCTTTGTCAGTGCATTACGTATTGAACCTCGTTTTATGCCTTCAACGTATTAAATCGTAGAAGTTAGCTTCTTTACCTGTCCTTAAAAACTGATAGGTCTTCCGCTGTTGGTGTGTGTGTGCTGTTCAAAGAGTTTTCCCTTAATTTCTGAGGCACGGAACTCGAAAGCAGATAACGGCGATACATTCCGGGAGCCATCCACAACATTCGTGCAATGTTCCGTGTCTGTGATAATCCTCCAGTTGGCTGGTACAGCCAGCCGGAGGAGCCTGGGAAATGTGTTATTGATTTGATGACGTTCATTCAAAGAGCTCGCCGGCATTTTCCTTGTTTGGTGGATGAATTAGAAAGTGAATTTGTGTACTGGACTTTGCTAAGGAATAGGATTATCGCAATCTTCGGTTTTATCCTCGAGCCGCGTTGTCTGGCCTCAGAAACTCGACAAACTCTTGTTGGGAAAGAATTAGGAAACTCTTAAACCTTCAGCATAAATTGTTCTTATGAAAGGAGTATGTATTACGAGACATAATTTAGTGGTTACATGTTCATTTTACTTCAGCAGGGCTTTATGAAAACGTGTTATTCGTCTGAAGTCTCACAATCGATACGACGAAAATTAGCTCGTAAAACATAAAGCACCCGATCGGTTTACAAAGAACAAATCGAATACGCCCGTGTACCTGTTTCCGGACAATGCAGGAACGTTTTGTCACCTAGAAACAGAAGAAATGTACTCCGTTTATCCCAAATTAAACTGCGATGTTGCATTTGAACGTCATTATAATGCATTAGAAATTAGAAAGCGAGAACTCCTTTGCTGGGAAAACCGATGAATGTCTCTAGTAACACAGTCACTTCATTAAAATGTCATGTCCTCCTCGCCTCGGCTGCATCGCATGAAGGAACTCTGATGGAAGTTTGTACTCCATATTTGAGTACATAATTTCGAAATTAAAATGATAGCATGCTGGGATATACCGCCGTGTAGTCTCGTAGAAATTGGCTGACGTTTCGAAGGTGATGCCTCTATTATGGTCATGATGATCGAAGTCAATTTCTACGAGACTATACGGCGAAATTTCCCAGAAGGCAAATTATAACCTGATATCTTTGTTTCCGAACGCTGGCCTTGTAATCCTGGGGGTCTCGGGTTCGATTCCCGGCGGTGCCCGAATTTATAACTTGTGTTGGGCAAGGCCGTGGTCTAGGCAACACGGAGTTTTCCTCCGTGGCATCCCAACAATTACTCCATTCACACACAGAAGAAGGCAATGGCAAACCACTTCTGGATCATCTGCCAAGAACGTATATGAACAGGTCCCAGTCCGAGAAAAGGATGGAAGGATCCTGTTCATATGGACCTGTCGTCAGACAGAACACTAAATAATAATAAATAACCTTTATATGCTCTAAGATTTACGTATATTTCCAACAGCCAATTAAATTTGTAGACTGCAAGTCACAAATCACTAATCATTTTTCATTATATGGCAGTTATACTTTTAGTCAGAATGTAACGAAAAACTCTGATTATGTTATCAGACCCGTTTTAACACTTCTGGAAATAATCTCACAAAGATGTCTGTATTCTGGGTTTTTTCCGCTATATTGCCTTGTAGAAAGTTGCCGACGTTTCAGAGCTACTCGCCTCCGTCATGAGGTTGATTAATGAGGCAGCAATCAGAAACGTCGATAAATTTCTAACGGTCTAAACGAAAAAGCAACCCAGAATACTAGAAACTTCATGCAAGGAATTTCTTAATCCGTGCCATCGGGCAGGCAGTTCATTGATGGATTCTCAAGGCGATGGCCCGAATTAACTTCCAAGTCAGTCTGTTTTGGTTTAACGGTGGACAGATACATCCTCCGATAGATTTTCTGTCTTTCTTCAAGATGATCCACAGACATTATCTTCCATCATCTGCATGTTTTCTTAATTACGACACGAACTGTGACGTCATATTAACGGGGAATAAGCAATAGTTTACAGTTCCTAGGTATTCCCATGTATTCGCGTAAAGGATTGACTGGAATATCGCTCACGTGACAAGAATTCGAACCGAAAAATGCCATTTATTATTCGATTACAGAAAAAGAGGTAGGAGCTTACCGATAAGGACGAGGGCATGGCTGGTTCAGCACCAGAAGCCCTTAACAATATCTCCCGAAGAGCTTTCTTAATGCCCACTTCAGACCAGTCGTTTCAAAAGAGTAGAAAATAGACACACAGCCGTCGGGAAGGGAAAATAAATATCGGTCTCTCGTCGTCATGGAAACCTCGCGCTTACGTCAGCCCGGTATTCCCAACTGAAAATCGTTCGTGTCCAGAGTCGACATCTTCTGACGCTTTAATTTCTTTGCTGTTATTTCTTAAAACTGGCTTTTGCTGAATTAGTTATAAACTACGGCGAAAGTCCGTAAATAGAATTATATTATTTTTAACAAGCTGTTTTCGCCTTCAGGAAATTTCAAACCTCAAGGCCACTATATCCCTTTCCGCGCGACTCTAAGTGACGAGCACAGCGTTGCCAGTTTCGCTCCGCTGTTCGTGTTGCAACATCGCATGGCCTTGAAGCATGCTATTTTCTGACGGCCATTGTAATACCACAAAACCTTCAGTAAAATTCCCATTTTATTCTCCTAGCTCGCCTGCTGTGTTTCAGAAGCTACTGTCACGAAAGACTGCCATAAAAGTTGCAGTAAACTGAGCTTCTGTTCCAAAGGGGCATAAGCTAAAAGGTTTCTTGGAAATCACGCGTCAACGCCTTGTGGTATTCTGCAGTGTCATTTAACTTCAAAGCACTGAATCTGTGTATATTTTCGCAGTTCGTATATGCCGAGGCATGTCTTCCATAAGACCGGTCTAGCGGTTAGAACGCTGGGCTTGTAATCCTGGGGTCTCGGGTTCGATTCCCGGCGGCGTCCGAATTTATAACTTGTGTTGGGCAAGGCCGTGGTCTAGGCAACACGGAGTTTTCCTCCGTGGCATCCCAACAATTACTCCATTCACACACAGAAGAAGGCAATGGCAAACCACTGCTGGATCATCTGCCAAGAACGTATATGAACAGGTCCCAGACCGAGAAAATGATGGAAGGATCCTGTTCATATGGACATGTCGTCAGACAGAACACTAAATAAAAAAAAAATTACAAGTGGCGCTATTATCGGTGCCAGAATATTGCAGGAAATTTCTAAAGTGCGATTTTAGGGTCGTTCAAAATGACATAAACTTTGTACCAAATTTCATCCAAATCCATCCAACGGTTCTCGAGGTAAATCACGTGGACGGAGAGACAGACATGACAGACCTGTTGATTATACGTATATAATAGATACATGCGGTTTGAAACCACGTCAGTGAACAGGTCGAAAGGTACAATTGTGTTTGCTTTCTGAAGGAGACGGTACATTATATAAAGTCAATATTAAACACGGAAGAATTTCCGTGTTGGAGTTTTCTGTGGTGATAAGAATATGGATGTTTGTTTTAGAGGAAGGTTTAAAAAATATATATAATTTTATAGGACGTAATCAGTTATTTAAAAAGCTAAAGTCAGGTCGTACTGGAATCAAAACTTCGAAAATAGAAGAAAATATTACCCTGGCAATAATAATTTTGTACGTGAAACACAAAGTTCAAACGATAATTTGTGGCTGTATTTTGCTACGTTACTAAAGTTCTTACAACTGAGTGCAATAGCACTCCACTTCTTGAAATGTTACATTCTATAATTATCAATTAACTTCAGAGTTCCTGTAAAACAGTTCATCCTGTGTCACTTCCGTATTTATTGCTCGAGCTTTAAACTACGAAATTTGCTCCATTTCCTTTTGACATTTCTTTTTCCGGAAAACTCAAAGACTACGGGGGATGTTTCTGTAGTAGGGGTAATTATTTATACACGCTCCACCTGCTGAAATGCTAGACGCTACTTTACAGCAGAAATAACGGGAATTAGACGAAAGGCTTTTTAAAAATTAATATTAACCTATTTTCATAACAAAGGAGACATAGAATATTCTTCTTGTGCGTTAAAATTTGATATTTGTGCTTTTATTTCCTTTCTAACTTCTTCTTATTTATTTTGCGACAGGAAAAAGTGCACTTAACAAATCACTCGATTGATATGCTCGAGTAGATACTCCAGTGCTGTCGAAAATGTCTTTAGTTTCGAGCTAAAAAGCTTCTAAATTTGGATTTTCGGTCGGAATTTTATACGAAACGTTATTTAAATAATAATAATTAACAAATATTTATGACTGTTTTCTGCAGGAACACCGTCGTCTAAGCTCAAGGGCGAAAAAAGTATTTAATGAACATTATTTTTCGAACGCGGAAAATCTGATTATACGCGGTCTGCCGAACACATTTCTGGGTCTTTATCTGCTTGACTGAGTCAGCAGATTCCCTCAAGGACCTCTGAGAGAGAGGTCTTTCGACTGTACCGCGCTGATTTGCTTTCAGGTGCGACGAGACATGAGCGACACAGCTGAGGTGAAAAGCGAGGACAAGAAGGAGATCGAGGACGAGGAGAGAGAGAAGATGTTGAACGAGGAGAACAAGAGAACAGCGACAGGCGGCGAGGAAGAGGGCGAGAAGGAGGAGAAGCCACAGCAGGAGGTCGTGATCAAACCGGCGAAGCGCGAAGGAGAAGGGGAGGTGGAGAAGATGAAGAAGGCCCTCGAGGAGTCGGAGAAAGAGAGTGGAAAGAAGAAGATACCGATTGGTGGCATCAAGATGCCCGGATTCCTCAGGAGTCGCTCCAGGGAGAAAACTAAGGTACGTACTGTCCACAGATCACGAGAAAAACTGCTGGGTGAAGTCGTTTCTGGTGCGGTGCGGGGGGGAATGTTACTTATCAGCTGGATTAGAGGGCTGCTATTGGTGGGGAGTGTGACACGTCAGAGTTTTACGCTACTACACAGACTGAAAACATCAAGCAGTTAAGAGTAGCGTGTAGTGAGCGCACTTTTAATGTGTTCTGCGGGTGTTGCGATAATATTCTAGATTAAATCGCTGTGCCGCTGTGAGGTAATCTTAAAGCAGTACCCATCAGAACACATGAAAGCCTGTCGTCTGTTGTTCGTTCAGTGGTTGTGGAACGAATGTTTTTAGGACGGGTCGTCACTCACCGCGAAATCTTTTGCGCATGCGCGTATATCGAATTCCTAGCAGGGATTTTCTCCTCGTCGGCGGACTGTACCTGGATGCATCGGTGGGAAACCGATCGTGGGGTAAGACGGATGAAAGGGCAGAAAGTCTTTCTTCTGACAGTCTCACTTTACATCTCATTAGTTTTCTGGTATCTTTCTTATGTTTCTTTTGACTCTCTCTTTACGACTATGGATCTGCGAACTACGCTTGATAAACCTTTCAGTAACGTAACAACCGAGAAGTCTTTTTACCAACGTGCATTTCTTGTTTATTCGCGGGAAGAAAAGTTACAAATGAGGGTAGTAAATTGAGGTGTTGAAACGCTGAAAGTGACCTAAATTCCGAACAGGTTTTTGGACTAATTTAGTCATTTCCGAGTCTGTTTTTGCTTCAATAATTTCCCTGTGTCGCGTCCAATTTATCTTCTTGTGATTCACAACTAGTTAGTTCTTAATTTTACTTTCTCAATTAAGACGTAAAGTTGCTCACAGCGACACGTACTGTCGGATATTCGCCTCATTAAGGCTTTGACCGGGATGTTCTTTTGTTAAATCTTATGTGGTACCGCCTGATTCGACTTCTAATGGTTAAGTGAAGTGTTTTCTTCGCGGTACGGTCTGGATTCGTAAATACTATGAAGACGAGCTTCGGCTTCAAAGGGTTAACCAGCTGATTTTCGTAATGGTGAGGTGTAGTGTTGTCTTCGCGGTACGGACTGAATTACTTTGTGGACGAGCCTCGTATATCACGCGGAAAGTTCAACAATCCTGTCGGCATTGACACGAAAGCTTTGCCTTTAATCACCGCGAGATTCGGGTAATTAGAGAATCTTTCAGCAGCTCAGATAATACAGCGTCGGATTATCAATAATTAACCGGAAAGAATGTGTAATGAAGCGGTCATAGCCTGATTAACGTACTATCTAGACATTTGCGTAAAGAAACTGAGAAAAACGAAAACCTGACAAGAGGGACCACCTTCTGGCCGATTTTTGAATCTGAGAACACCCCCCCACCCCACACACGCGAAGGGAAAATAAGTGCTAAGCACTCGGCCACGACATTCGGTAAAATTAGACAGTAATTTCTCTCTATGTCACCAACATTTGCATCAGAAAATCAGAAATCAAAATAAACGAAGATTTCAGTAAGTACATAAGCGGGAAGTGGGTTTAATGTACGGTATGCGAAATACATAAATGTATTAAGTCTATAGTTGCAACAGTAAACAAAGTCCCTACAACGTATTTAGAATAAAA